TAATATGTTTACACTTGCGCGTTTAATGTATAAATGACGGTATAAGCTAAGCTAAAATTATCTAATTCAGTTAATGTTGCAGATTGCGTTGTTCCTTAATCTTCGAATTGGATCTGGCTTATTATTTTTTGCAGACTTTCAGAGCAATTTTATAAAAGTAAGATTGGACTTTCGATTATGTCAAATAGAATTTCTGATATATATTTACTAATATGTAAAGGATCTACAAAGAGAAAGTATGTTTCAAAGTCCATTAAACAAAAAGTGGAATTGTTGCAAAAAATGGGTATAGGCATATCCTTCGTTTCTCTAACCATTCCAAAATCTGTTTATCAATTTCTCGCTGCTCTGCGGTGGAAGGGGGAACACCGCGGCGTGCAATGAATTGGAAGTTCATCTGTTAGCACTATCCTTATCTGCAGGGCAGATGTTTTTATTTTATTTGGCTTATAGTTCCTTACTAAATGTAGTATTTCATCTCGATGTACTCCGTCTTTGATATGATTTAAATCAAATTCCTCGTCATTATAATTCGCTTCCGATAGTGAAGAAAGTGACGCAGAGGTTATTGAAAACGAAAAAATTTCGATTGACAAATTAGTCGGTATTCTCGACACAGCAATAATAGGACTTGAACAGCGGAACTTTGTAACTGAACAAGAAATTATGTCTGTTTATAGAATTAAAGAGAAAGTATTATCACATAAAACGAAGCAACTTAAACAACTTACATTGAAAGAAATGTTTAATAAAGTAAACAAATAAATATTAAGCTTTTTTTTTTTTTTTGGTAAATTTTGATACCCTTTAGATCATAATTGTTCTTTATTTCATAAATTATGGTTTCATATTTTTAATTTTATAATTTCTGCATGCCATCTTACCAGATTTAAACTGATGATCTATAATCCGAAAAAAACGATAATCTGGAATCGCCGAAGTCCTGACGAGTCCGGATTAACGACTTTTGACTGTAGTGGCCATGTAAATCCATAATGACTAAGGTTATCTAATTACCTAATTTAATTATTTATAACTAACTACTTACCCTTAAAAATTATCTTACATATTAAAGCGAGTTATTGCCTTTCATTAATACTTACTGTGGTCACAAGATAAAACACAAAAATGTAAAATTCAAGTAAAACTTATTCTTTACATCTACTGAGACTTAGAATAATATAATAATACAAAACAACTTATCACCTCTGGTGCTTTAATTGCTTATTGGAACCTTAAAGTATATTAACTGGATTACAACCCCTAGAACTCTACACGAAGCTAGGACATTAACTGCATTAAGCAGAGCCTGACTAACTTTCAACACTTGCCAACTGTGCCTACATCAGGCCTTTCAGGTTTGTTCCAATCAGCAGGTCTCTCTCTGGACAAGCAGCAGAGAGACAACATTCAGTCTTTTGTTATGAATGTTGCGGGGGACGTGGCGCACAATGAACTGGAAGTTGATCTGTCAGCACTATCCTTATCTTCAGAGCAGATGTTTTTATTTTATTCGGATTATAATTCCTTACTAAATGTAGTATTTCATCTCGATGTACTCCGTCTTTGATATGATTTAAATCAAATTCCTCGTCATTATAAATATCACAAATACACATCAAATAGTTTTCTGGTTGCAATTTGCTAATTTTGACTATGCGTAATCAGGCTTCGTAGCGGTCCTTATAAGTGCTTATAAGTCCTTATATTTGAAAATAAAATATAAAGGCCCATATAGGTGCTTACTTTTTCTTTAAATCCCCCCCTTTTTTTTGTTTTTGTTTTTAGTGCTTATTTTTTGCTTTTAGTGTTTTTTTTTTTAAATGAAAGCGCAATGTTTTCCCGTACCAAAGCCAAAACTAAATAAACAACTTTTCTTCCTAATATGGAATGTCAGATGGTGAATCATACTCCCGGAAATAGGTTTTACCCTTTTTCTGCATTAACATAACCTTTGGTGTGCACAGAGAGTACAGACAGGTGCCCGTCATTCTGTTGGTCAAAGAATTGCAAAAGCAGTTGAAAATTCTGGTACATTCGGCATTCTTTTCCTCCCACCCAAATACTACACACGTTTGAATTTCTATCAAGATCTTAATAATTTGCATTCTCGTTCCGCTTGGTGAGTTCATATTCGTGTTTATTATGATCGTTATGCTTATATTATGAGCATATGTGTAGATGTTTATAATAACATAGTTGCAGTAACTGCTCAAGTATAGTAAACTTCCAAAAATGGTTATTTTTTAACTCAGATTAGCTTTCTAAGGAATAATATTCGGAATGGCTTAAATAAATGGAAAGTAATTGAATAGTCAAAATAATTTCATTTTTTTGGCCAATACATTATACAGTACGAATGTTGGGAGGTTCTCCCCTTTTTCTGCAAAATCTCGAATATTGAAACTGTTATGGTTCGCTGCAAAACAAGCAACAGACTTTTTTTTTTTTTTTTTTTTGTCACTTTCCAATCTGGGTTGAATAGGACTAAAAGTTCTGCGGTCTACCAACCCAAGCGAAGAATGATTCTATTCCGGAAATTTAGCGCAGTCTGTTGAAAATCAGAATGAAAAACAGTCTCTCTTTCTTTTCCTTTCTTTAGTTCTTTATTCTCCCAATAACGGCAGCTGTTGAATCCGATTGTGTAATATCATGTAGAGAAGAATTACGGCGCATGTATTGCGCAATAACATTTGCGATATTTCTCAGAGATAATTAATTTATTTTGATGTTCGGTCCCAGATTTGTTTATGAACACTTAAAAGAGTTTTCCTGTGCTTGCAAAGCAAAATATTTTTCTGTTCCGTTGGTTTGTTTTTATATGAAACAAACCAACGGAACTTGCACATATCGAAATGCCAAAAGCATTTATTGGTTTAATCCTAGTATCCGGTGCACATGGGATTTGGCTACTTTTAGTGACTTTATGATGAGCAGTAAAAACGGGACATATACGATTAGTAAACGGGTTATTCAAAGAATATATATAGTTATACATAGTATATACTATGTATATAGTGATAGTAAATAGTGGATAGTATATACATAGACGTTCTTTGGGTCATTTTTGGTGTTGGCGATAATTTTCAAAATTGCACCAAGGCTGCACCGTATACTAGGATTCTACCCATTTATTTAGCGGAAAAATCTAAAGAACGGCTACCGTCTATCCCCCACTCCGCTCCTCTTTTTCAAGTTACGTTCCGCTATCCGAATATTCGCCAATTTTCAAGTATGCGGGTAGTTAAGCTTTTACTGTTAAAGGATGACTGCATGAAGCAAATTTCTGTTTTCTGATTTCAGAAATGTTCCTCTTTTTTACTTAAATTACTTTGCTTGCAATATCTGTTAAGGGAAAACTGATATATGATGAAAATTTAGAAAATGCTCAGAATTTAGATTTAAATTAGTTAAATATCAATATGAGTGGAAAAATAAATTGTATTTATTATTAAGTTCCAAGCGAAATAGAATAAATATGCCTTATTATTATTTATTCCTCTATTTTGAACTGAAATTTCATCATTAAATCTTGTAATATAGTTTTTAGTTCTGCATAGTTTTTTTTCTTCATTGTAAAACTAGTTCTGTAAATTGAACTGTTATTTAAAATTTTAAAAAAAGTAATTATTTTCCATGGTTGAGGTAATGCTTATTCTCTCTTAATAAATACTGCATTTCTCATATTTTAAATAATGAATCTTTTTAAGGTTTTGCAGTTGTGTATAATGTAATTAAACGGGTGCTTATTTTTTTTCTTAAAAGGTGCTTGAAAAGTGCTTATTTTTTTAAATAAAATGTGTCTATGAATCCTGGTAATGTATGCTTTACGCATGCGCACGTTGAAAGAAATGTTTAATAAAGTAAACAAATAAATATAATTTTTTTTTTCTTTTGTAAATTTTATACCCTTTAGACAAATGCTCTTTATTTCATAAATTATGGTTTCATATTTTTAATTTTATAATTTCTGCATGCCATCTTACCAGATTTAAACTGATGATCTATAATCCAGAAAAACCGATAATCTGGAATCGCCGAAGTTCCAACGAGTCCGGATTAAAGACTTTTGACTGTAGTACAAAATGTGTGTCAAACAGATATTTCTATAACTTTTAGCAGTCATGCATATATATCATAGCTATTTCTGTTGCTTGTGTTGTTGTGACACATTTCTCTGGTCTAACCTAATCAGAACAATCCCATGAATTTTTTTGTGTCAAGAAGTGCAAGATTGTGTTTTGTTGTTGGAAATGAGTCTTGAGCACCTAGTATGTGACTGATCCCATTTTGTGTGCCCAGTTCTGCCCCGTTCTTGAAAGAAAGCAGCCGGGGGTGATTCTGGTCTTCTATACCTATTTGCTTACTACCATGTCATTCAAGAGAAATTTCAATTTGCAGTATATTTTGAAAGCTCCCATGCTGCACAGACACTATACATTTACAAACATCTGTGCCTTCTCTGGGAATCAAACTGAAACGTATAGCAGTCAGCATCACTAACCACTATACCGCCTGGACAGCTTCTCTTACTTATTCTGCCTATTAGTGGTGGAAATATATGTGTGAAATATTGATGCATTTTTATTAGGACTTTTCTGCCATATTTTGGCTTGTATATTTGATGTGTTAACACAAATAATATACCAATTTGATGTGTTAACACAAATAATATACCAATTTGATGTGTTAACACAAATAATATACATACAGAACTGTTAACAAATTTAAACAAATAAAGTTTTCTCACCTATACGTTTTTAATAGGCATTCTTCATGATACTAATTTTGTGATTCCCCCCCCTTTTAAGTCTACTGTTACTGTTTTCTCTTTTTTTTTCCTTCTCATCCCATGTCCAGCTATGGACTTATACTTATTTCTAGTCCAACTATAGAATTTAGTTTGAATTGATTTTAGTTTTAAATGCATATGAACGTTGTATAGCGTTAATGATGTTGCTGGATTTCAAAACATATACTTTTTGAAATCTATCTTCCAGGATATTAGTGAAGTTATACACAATCTTCATAGTATTCATTGGTCTGACCGAAAGGAGGGCCTTCAAGCACTACAGGCATATCTCCGTTCTGGCCGCATGTTATCCACTATTGAATTGAAGAAAGTCACTGATATATTCTCAAAAATATTTATGGATCCACATACGAAGGTTTGTAAAATAAATAATATATTAGCAGATTTTGAAATTTTGTTTAGTGTCTTCATTTGTGAATTTGTTTATTTTGCTAAAAATTATTATCAGTTTTTTATAATTGTTTTCTTTATTTTATTACAGATGTTGGTAAGTTTTTTAAAAAATAAATTTATTTGTTATGTAATTTTATTGGAAATGGTCTTCTTTTCAATTCTCTATCTTTTTTAAAGTAAATTTTATCTAAAATTGAAAAGAAACTATTTATTTTTCAGAGTTCTTTGCTCATAGTTTTAAAATTGCGAAATATGTACATTTTTCTTTTCTTTTTTTGAGAAGGAGGTTTGTTTATGACTTTTGCATATGTGTGTTTATATATATATATCTAATTAAACTGCTCCATTTTTGTGATAAGACTGCATTATTATTGTAATAAGATGGCTTGGTAGAAATAAGTTGCAATGGATTGGCTGTAGTTCTCTGCTTCATCACTTAAAGACAACGTGATTGTGTAGTTAGAATGGTGGATGCATTAACTCAAAAACTTGCAGGCATGACCTAAATTTCACATATAATTTTATTTCTGGATAATGCGTACTATCACGGTGGGTGCGCTATGCATCCCCCAATTTTGTGCAGATTACATCTTCTTAAAGCACGAAAATTAGAAAAGTAAACTCTGTGTAGATAGTGGCAAGGCAGCACAAGTGTCTGGAAGCAGAAGGGAAGACAGAAGAGGGAGAGTTGGGACTGAATTAAGTTTTTATACTCCATTTTCCATTTCAGATCACATGGCAGTTTAATGTACAGGTGTTGGGTTCAGACTTCATTAAAGGGCTATTAATTTATTATTTGAAGGCTAGATTTTATATTTTACATATTTATATTATATATATTTTATATAGGTACATTTGCCTTTTCAGAGTCACATACATATAATAATTATGTATTATCATGTGTATGACCTCTGCATGTGTATATATATTATATACAGGTATATTTCTTTATATACAGGTATATTTGTCTTCATAATAAGTCATTTGCATGTAGTAATGATGTATTATTTTTACAGGTTTTTTCTTTGTTTCTGGATGCCTTAGATGAGCTTATAGTTATCCATAAAAATGATTTGCATTCTTGGTTATATGTGCTACTTACGCGCTTATTTTTAAAGATGGGTGGTGACATCCTAAGTTCTGTTTTAGCAAAAATTCAAAAAACACTAGAATTGGTCAAGTAAGTTCATTAATGTTTAATTATGATTCTAATTGTGATTTTTTTAAACAATGAGCTAAATGTATTCTGAGCTAATAATATTTGAGAAGTGAATAAAATCAGAAAATTTTCAGAGTTGTAATGTAGCTTAATCAGTTGTTATTCGTTTAATCATAAGCATGCCCATTCTAGCAAACTTTCAAAGATTAAGAACCAAGTCATAGTCAATGAAGAAAGGCTGTGCTTGTTCATACTTAGCTCTCTCGTTATTCTTCTCTCTGCTTCCTGTGCAAATCTCAAAATGTAATGAAAATGAAATGTTCTGCTGCTTTAGCAAAATTTCATGTTATATACAAATGAATAGCATACAAAATTGTGAAATTTTTAAAAATTTCTATATAAAAATCAGTTAAGACTAACATATGGCACATTGTTACAGTCAAACCTCACTTTAGTGAAGTCACAGAATCCAGTGAAAAACTTCACAAAGTGGAGGTTATGATAAAACATTATTTAAGATGACTATTTTTAAAAAACTTTTTAATGTAAAATAGCAGTAAAAGGAAATATACATAAAAACATACACACATTAATGTATTCATTCCATCAAAGTTACTAGGAAATTTGTGCAAAACAATCTGTCATTTCAATCTTTGATTTTGCTTCAGTTGTATCTTTAATTCCTATTATTTCAAATTTGTCGAAATATGCAATACTGACAGTGTTCAGTAACACTGATGTTGTCAAGGAGGCTGAAGTACCATCTTTTTCTATACTGCTGTCATTGTGTACTCTTTTGAACTGACTCCACAAAGTCACCCAAGATTTCATGTCTTCATTGAATTTATTAAGCTTGATTTTAGGGAATTTTAATTTCTTTTCATTAGGCACTTTCTTCATGATGAGCTATCCTAAATAAGTTTTACAAGCAGTCAAGCCACATTTCAGTTTTTGTATGTTTCTGGTAAATAACTGTCCACAAAAATCCATTTCTATTAGCAGTTCTGCATGACCATATTTAGTCAGCCATAATTTCTTTTCTCATAATTGAGTCTCATACACTTCACCTGAGTGTAGGAATTTTTCTATAAATTATCTGTAGGTTTAAAACATGAATGATACAAGAAAAGTCGCAATTTAAAGCTTTAACTTCATAAAGATTGTGACTCTTTGCCTGAGTTCCAAATCCACTAAGTAGAGAATGGACTGAAGTTTTATAAGCAATGGGTTACAAACCAAAATCCTTAACTATTCACTCTAAAATATAAAAATCTTGACTACCACTGTCGATGAAGGCTCTTATTATTTGTTCCCTTCCATTTGATGTTAGCTTGATATGCAGGGTATGCAGCAAAACTTCGCCAGAATTACAATAATTTGAAACATTAACATCTTATGATTTTGGCTGTTCACTTTTTAGAAAGAAGTTTGTGGTTTGTTGATGTGCAATTCATGATGCACTAAAACTAAGTGTTTCTTATTGCAAAAATACAGACATTATTTTAACAATTCTTTGAAAAATGTCTGTTTTTGAAATGCATAAAATAATGCTTTTTAATTTTTCATTGCTTGTTTTTGTTCTAAATTTAATTTCTGAGCACTGAAACACTCTACTTTCATGTGGATTATCATAAAAATAATGGGAGTTAAATGATTTTTCTTTTCTTGATGGTTTCTGAGAATAAATCATTTGCAGTAAGTTGCATTTTACAATAACTTTCCTTTACCTACCCACTTTCGCTAATTGAACCTGTTCTTCCCCTTTTTTTCATCTTCAAAAACAGCAATAAATTCTTTAGCCTTTTCAGTGTAAATATTCTGAATCATATCCTCATTTGCTATCATGATTTGAATGTGTAACCAAACTCAAAAGATGTCGTCTGGATGTATGACTCCACTAGAGAGAATAGCATTGCAGAAAACTTATCTGGTATTAAACCAACTGATTCAAGAACTCTCAAATATGTTTCCAATATATCATATAGTTTAAGATGTCATATAGTTAAGTGTTAATTTTTTGTTTTTACTCTGTAGTTTTCACATAGGGTTTCAATAGTTCATAAACATAAAATTTCGATCGATAATTCACCCGTACCAAATTGCGATTTTAAACATACTGTGGCATTTTCATAATTATTGTTAGTTGGCGGATAATTATCTATTATGTCATGAGCTCTGGTACATTCAGTTATACACTACATAAAATACTGGAACTTACCATCTTTTTCTATACTGCTGTCATTGTGTACTCTTTTGAACTGACTCCACAAAGTCACCCAAGATTTCATGTCTTCATTGAATTTAACAAGCTTGATTTTAGGGAATTTTAATTTCTTCTTTAACAATGGAGGAGAAACCACTTCTAGTTTAGGATCTGAATTTTTTGTAAGATACATTTGCGTACTAACTTTTGCTTTATCCATTTTTTCATTATTCTCTTGAATGGCAGAAATACAGATATTTGTATTGGATGGGACTGAAAAATTTCCTTAATTTGTGATTTTTAGTAGCCCTTTTTTTAACATTTTTATTTATTTATTTATTTATTTTTAATTTTTTTTAAATTTAAGTGACTATGTAAGTCTTTTTGAAATAGGTAGGATGTTATGATTGTTATAAGTGTAAAATATAAATGATTCAAGAAATTATATTTGTAATTTAATCTTGACTACTACATAAAACTTTTAGGGAATTTTATTTTCAAGCATGTTTTTACTAAATTTATTTTAATTTATAAATTTATTATTTATGTTGAATATTAGATTTAACTTAATTAGAATGCATGCTAGATAGTTCAGTTTTATTCTTGTAATACTATTGCAAGATTGAAGGTTGGTTGCAAAATAATTGCTGTTATGTATTTAGTTTTGTTTGTTGATATATCCTTAATATTCTTCATGATTGTCCTTAACACATTAAGTACCACTATATAAAAAAACTTTTAATTTTGGCCACTGTTATTTTTTTATTAACACATCATAAATGCTCCCTAATGTCATGTAATATATTTATAAACCATAATATTATATCTGTATATTTCTAAGACCGTAATTAGTTACCACATGCAAAGTGGATATTTATCCATATGTCTATTTTGTGCGTCAGAGTTTTATGTACAACTGAAATCATTATTTTATTCTGTTACTCATAGAATTTGTTTCCTTTAGAATACATGGGGACAACTCTGAATGCATTTCACAATATCCAAGCTAATACAAGTGGCCTGTTAGGCTATAATGTTGTGTGTGTGTGGATACAAATGGTATTTAGGTGTTAGCCTGAAAAGTCTTTAATTTTCTTTTAAAGGAATGTGTATAAACCTTGTAATTGCTATGTAAAAAAATCTGTTGTAGACACCACATGACTTCCTTGTTCATCTTTTAAATTACACATATTTTTTGCTGCACTTCATTTAAACTTATTTCATTTAAAAGTGAGTTACAATCTTCCAATTCAAAATGTAGCTCTCTGATTGCAATAAAATGCCATTTGCTTTTTATTTCCTTGTACAAAGTAAATCTTTTACTTTGTACAAGGAATTAAAATTGAATGTAAATGTGTGTATTTAATTAGTGCAATGAGAAACTTCAAAGCTTTCAATAACCCACCAAAATTTGTTCCAGTTCATTACTGAGTGGCAGTCTGTACTTTCAAAATTTCTGTTTATCATACTAAAAATGTGTTACAGAACAGCTGTTTTTAATTTTTATTTTATTTTCATCATGGGGCAGGAATCCATTTAATGTATTACTAATTTAGTATTTGTAATGTAGTTATAGTTTTTGCATTACACTTTAAAATGTTATTTTTAATTTTAGAGAATCATTTCCGTATGAAAATCAGTTTGCTGCTATAGTAAAATTTTTGAATGACCAAACTCAGACTCCTAATACAAAGGTATGGTTGTCTTTGTAACCCATATTTTATTGTGTTTAGGATATAAAAGTACTGTAGTAAAGTACATTTCATGTTTCTTAGGTATAATTTTCCTTCTCTTAGGTTAAAATTGCATTATTAAAGTATCTCCATTCTTTAATATCTGACATGGATCCAAGCAAGTTTTCTAGTGCCAATACTGAAGTTAGATTTGCTTTCATGAAAGTAATATCATGGACTGCAATGCACAAGAGCAGTGATTTGCGAAAGGTATATATATATAAATATATATATATATATTTTTGTGTGTGTGTGTGTGTCATACAATACTAATAAATATAAAAAGTTACTATGTTGACTTTAAAACTTGTTTTCTTTTTCCTCATAAACTTTCACTTATTTTAAACACAAATCATACCTGTATTATATATGCATCTCATAAAGAAGATGCAAAATAGTAGCTTTAATTTAAACAGCCCCCTTAAATCTCATTTTAAATTTGGTTATTTTTCATTCCTATTCTAAAAATTGTAACAGGCTTACACTGAATTTCTTTGAACTGCATCTCTACTTAGCATTAATCCTTAACATATGAATCTTATATAATGCCTATAACATGTGTACTTGCCTAGCGTAAAAAGTCTTTTAGCCATTAATAACATAAAATTGTGTAAACCGAAACCTTAATAAACCACTAGCTTCACTAGCATTCATGTTATAGTCTATGCATTTCTTTTGAGCTTCTCTGCTCTGCTGTAATATGCTACTTTCCATCTTTACTTCAAGAAAACTATGAAAGTAATTATTGAAGAGCTGTCACCGGCACTCATTTTGCACCAGTTAAGCTGTGTAATTTTTATCAAGAATAAAAGAGCATTGAAATGGCTATGATTGCTTTTAGCTCCTATGTACCAGCTTTTTTTGTCAACATCTAAGTCAGTATACCAGAATTATTACACACATACACAAGGTGCATAGGAAATTCGTTAAACACTAAAATAACTTGAATGCAGAAATCTAGAACTGTAGAAATTATATATACATACACAAAAGTAACTGTGCTTTATCATATGAGACTGACTACGGTGCCTGTAGAAGTGTGTTAGGAAGTTAGCAATGTTATTGTACAAACTAAGAGACAGCAAAAAAGTCACTAGCAAACATGTACAACATCACTGATTTAATGTGAAGAAAAGATCCCTTGGTATCCCATTACTAACATAAACGCATCTCTATTTGCATGTGTGACATTATAAGCATAATTAGTGTTTTCATAAGATTGCAAGCTGTACTTATGGTCTTTCATGTAATCAAGCCCACCAGCGGCCGAGCGGGAAAGTCGCTGAACACTGGTAGTTCGGTCCGAGGTTCGAATCCCGCGAACGGGCTGGCTGCATGGGGCGTTTTCGTGGTTTTCCCCATGTGTAACGTGTATACGAGCCAGTTTCCGTTAGAAAGTCCTCCACGGAGGCATCCCTCCCCTTAGGCAGATAGCCCTCGAGGCTTTGCCATAATCCCACACGCACTTTCATATAATCACACAGTTCTGTAATGTGCCCACCAGCGGCTGTGTGGTAAAATTTACAGAACGCTGATAGTTTGTTCTGAGGTTCTTGGCTGGCTGCATGAGCTTTTTTGAGTTTCCCCATGTGTAATGTGTATACAAGCTGGTTTCCCTTAGAAAATACTCCCCGAAGGCATCCCTTTCTGTAGGAAGATAATCGTCAAATGCTTTGTCATAATCAAGTAAACCAGTTCAGTAATGCCAGATCAGGTACTTTGATCATTACCACCATAACTGATGATCATGTACATCACAAAAAAAAAAAAAAAAAAAAAAAAAAAAAAACCTATATCTTCCGTTCTACTGGGCCGATTGACGAAATTTAACTTGCATTTTTCATGTGTCGCAAGCGCAACTTAGGATATGTATTATATTTATATATAGCATTGTTCTAATATAGATATTTTGATACAAAATCGGGTTTTTTGTGTATTCACGTGCCAATTTTGTTCCATATTCGATTCTCTGACTCAAATTATTCCAAACTGCCAAGTGTTATTTAATTGCACAAGTAGTTTTTAGAAAATTAGCTCTCAAAATTTTAGCTCCTCAGTGTTAATTGAATTTGATATATATTTATTAATAACTCCTTTTTTTTTTATTAAACTGATTTGACTCTTCCTTTCACATTTTTCACATTTTGAGAAGGTTCATTCCAAATAAAATTCGCTCATTTTTTGAGATTTCTTTTTTAAATTTGTATTTTTAAATAATTCTTAAAAGTTTTTCAAAAAAAAGTTTTGATTTATAATCTATCAAATTTTTACCATCATCTTAAAGTAGATGTATTTTTAACTCATGCAATAAAAAGGGAAAGGAAAATAGGTTGCTATATATTAAGAAGTTCGCCAAGTGAATAATTCACTTGGCGCCAAAAACTGGGGGGGGGGGAATCAAAATATGAATTTTTTAATTTTTCTGAAAATTTTGTGCTAAATTTTACAAAATTTAATATTTAGATATAATTGGAGTCGTAGAATCGAAATATGGGGGGGGGGGAAATTGCATGTCATTTCAGAAAAAGTCAGATTTTGTGTCAATATACCTATATTTGAACAAATGCTATATATAAATCTAATATATATCCTAAGTCACACTTTCGAGACATAAAAAACACAATTTGAATATCATCAGTTGGTGCAGTAGAACAGGAGATTTAGAGCTGTCCTCCCCTTTTCTTAGTCCAAAAAGGCAATTTGCCTGTTGAACTGAATTTTATGGTTTAAGTGTGAAGAATATGATATTTAATAAATAAAGGTAACACACAAAATGTAAAAAAAAAAGGCCTTTTTGGATGTAATTTAAAATTTGAAACTACTTCCCCCCCCCATACTTTAAATTGTCCAACAAGAAATTTTGCACTGATGCCAGTAGATATGGTGGTGCACTATCATCCTTGAATTCATGCACACATTTAATTTAAAGTCCTCTAGAAAAATCAGGTGTTGTGATTTACAAATAAGTGCAAGTAACTTTGTCCAATTAAAATGCCATTGTAGAATACAGATCCTGTGAGTTGAGCATTCCAAATCCTACATCATTTATTGAAGGACCACTGGATATGATGACAAACCAGTTATTGCTGTAATGGCTTCTTAAATGCCCATTAGTGTAAGCTGTCTCTGTTTAACTGAGACTGTTCTACTGTAATAAAATTTTGCCTTGTTTATCTGCAATAGCTATAACATAATATTCAGCTGTACATTTATTGTATTCATCTGGAAATTGCTTCAGTTGTTTTGTCTGTGACAACTGCTGCTTTTGGCAGCAGCTCGTACATTAGCGATGCACTCTACAGCTGAGCTTTCACTTCGTATAAAATTTGCCATGTATGACCAGATTTAAAGCTGCAGGCCACACTGGTGTCTCTCATATTGCTGTATAGGTGGCATAGCCCATAGACCAGGGTGCCCATTTCTCTAATCTGGCACACAGCATCGATAATAGTAATCCTAATAGGATAAGAATGAAAAAACATAATATATACAGATATGTTGCATCTGTTGCCTAACAATCACATTCCACAGTACTCCCTTTTGGAATGAAAAACCTTCTCTGACTGCCAATTTATGCTTTTTGATGGAATATGACATACTATTTATACTATTTACGTTTGCATACTATCTTTCAAGCAGTCATTCATATATCCATCCCTAGAACTATTTTGAATTATTTGAACATAGACATGAACTTAAGGTGTTTCTTAGCAATAAAACTGAGAAACATTTTACACGACTGGCTGTGGCTCTGTAAATTGGCATCCTTAGCAGATATATTGTCTGCTTTGAATTGTCTCAACTTATTGATGCAAAACTAAGAAATTGCATGGTTCCATGGTTCATTGAAGATAAAGTGAATGCTACCATGCCAAAATTAAATTTGTGGTAAAAGAAAGGTGGTAATGGAAAAGTGGACTTGTTTCCCTTTCTTCGTGAGCATCTAGCAATTTGGGCTGGTAAAACTGATGCTGATACTCTGAAATTAGTACATCTTGCAGAGAATTTAAAAATAAGCCTGCAAAACTGTTTTCCTGTTTTAAACAAAAATATTGAATGACTAAGATTTCCATTCAGCATTTATAAAACATCTGCACCAGGAGGTTTATCACATGCAAAAGAAGACTAATCGATGAAAGTAGTTTCAGATGAACTGATGAAAAATAAACATAAGGAGTGTACTTTAACCTTATTCTGGTTGCAAATTCAACATATGTATCCAGTTTTAACAGAGAAAATGCTGAAATACATCTTACCTTTTCTAACTTTATATTATGTAAAGTTTTCCAGCATTTGTAGACATTAAAGGGGGGGGAGAAAAACAAAAAGAAGGAAGAGGCTTTTTGATGTGGAACCACATTTTAGATTAAATTTAACAACCAGGGAACCAAATTATGATGATCTGTTGCTTTACCATAGTTGATTTCATCCTTCTCATTGATTATAATGAATGTTATTTATAATACAACTTTTATTTACTTTATTATGAATGAATTTTATATTTTGTTTACGTACTAAAAAGGGAAAAACACATATATTTTGATTATTTTTAAAGTATATTGATTTTTTGGAGGGGATGAGGGGTACTCAGTGTTACAAAAATTATAGGAGTACCCAGATGTTGAAGGTTTGGGTACATGTCTGATATTGATGTTTTTTGTTCTCATAGTTTTTGTGATAAAATTTGTCTATAGGGGATAAAGGTGTCAGTCTCATATGATAGAGCTTTGTATCACATTACCATCTACTTTTATTTGGCATTATATATAATAAAATTAGAGCGATATAGAAGAGCTTAATATGGCTTCTGTACACGGATAATCACATTATCACTGACAGACACAAATGCCACAACTCAAAAGTGCTGAGAACAAGTCCAAAGTTAGAAATCAGCTTAAGCCAACTTTATTGATGATCCTTAACACAAAATCAGTGATGTAGTTTGTGAATTGAGGTAATTTTATTTCTGGTTTTATTCTAATTAAAATGGGACTGAATGTAGTGTGTTCTTAAGTGAGGATATTCCGTTCCCTTTACAGTTAAAAAAATCGTATAATATAAAGTGGTTCCTTTTACATTATTGGTCTGAAATTTTTTTTTCATTGCTATAGGTAGGTGTTGATTATTTAAATGAGAATAATTTCCTATATTAGCAGTTAATAATTGTGTAATATAAATATGAGGCAATTTCTTTTGTATTATCTTCCATA